CTGGTCAAGGTCGACATGATCTTCGGATTGAAGTACATCAAGACAAGGATACAATGTGGAAGGCTTGGCCAACGCCAAGGCTGCGAGGCTGGGGTATGAGGTTTATCATGATACAGGTATGTCCTATTGCGTACCTTTTGGTCCTGGGGAGCATTATTGATGATGTCTGTCATCAAGGTGGGCAAAAGATCAGTGACACGCTTAACACCGGCGGCGAAAGTGCCATCCGGCGCATCGCCGCCAGGAACCTGGCCGGCTTTGCGAGCGGCCTCTACCCACTGCCGAGTTACTGAGTCTACCACATAGAGTACACCCAGCTTGTGGGAGCCCGGGGCCTTCTTGAAGTGAGTGTAAATTTTCTGAATGAGAACTGATTCGTTCTGTGGGCAGGGTTAGCACATCATGGATCACGGCGGGACCAATGAGATGAATCAATCGACCAAAGGGGACAAGCGTACCTGCACGTTGGCATTGCACAAGTTTGTGATGCCGCCAATCTTTGAACCGGATACGCCAGGCGGCTTAAGAGCCAGCATAGATTGGAGAAGATTCTCCAGTTCAGCTACTGCAGAAGACATGGCGGAAAATACTACCGTGAAGTCCACGTGTGAGGGGAGTCGCAAAAGAAAGAATGAAAAGAGTTCCCAGTCAAGACTTTATGCAGATGGGAGGAAGCAATCGAGAGGTCCCGGCTACTGCGCTCTGTGACGCGACGGACAATCTCTCGGTATGAAAAAAAAAAAAAATATGTTTAATCGAGTCCCTGGCGGTTTCTTCACTACAGACTCCACGAGCGCATTCACTGTCGACCAGAGAATAGCCGCCTACAGCTGGAATACAGCCTAGCGATATTTGTGTCCAGGAGGGGCTGCCTGGCGCCGAGTACGAGAGTACGGGGAGTACGGGAGATGTACAGCCTAGAGCGTCTTTTGCAGTGAGATCCCAGAGAAAACCAGATCAGGGTTTACGGAGTCCAAGAGGATCCAGTGAAGTCCAGCGCAGTCAGCGAGTGGACTGAAGTTGAAAAACTGATGAAATCGAAAAGAAAAAAGATGCTGAGATTGGGGGGGGATGAAGATGAGGATTAATGGAAGGATCATCAAAGGGGACAAGCAGACTCTGCGACTGGCGCTAGTCCTATCGTGGATTTTAATCACGTGCTGATTACAATTTGCATCTTTGGTTGTTATCCGTAGCCGGAGGCTTTTGGTCTTACAAAGCATACCTGCCCAGCCCTGGAGGTGCCCAGGTGGAGTTGAAGACCTAACAAGGCGGCTAAAAGAGAGGCCGAGGTGACTTGTCAACCCCTAACAACTGCAAGGCTCGTGTCAATAAACATTGAGTTTTGAAGTACGGAGTATTAACCTTGAATGAGGTTCTGCATTTGGTGACCAAGTCCTATTTTTTTTTGTATCATATTTGATGGTTATATATATGGTGGAGGCAACCTTGGAATAATTATGAGCTCTCTCTTGAAGTAATGATTAAAGCCTACTAAAACAATGGGAATTGAAGACCTTTTGATTCTAATGGAAGGTTGACCCAACAACAATAATAATAACAATAAAGCACAGCATCAACATACTCCATACTCCGTACATTATTATTACAGCTGATTACAGCTGATGAGCCGAGGGACCCGTGGACATATCCCTTTTTGCCAATGCATTTCTGCCCCCGGCTCCCGCCTTATAGCTCCCGACCTCGGTGAACCATTTTAGAAAAGGCCATTGTACAACAGGCATATTTTTGGTACAACGATAGCCCTAGAATTTCCGATCTACAAGTATCTACTCGAGGTCATAGCATCAAATTCATTATGGCATCCACGTGCACGGAGTATGTAGTATAATATTCCCATCTGATAAGGTCCTACCGAGGGTTTCCATATCGGACGGATGGCGGCACGGAAGAAAATGGCGACTTTTCGACGTCATTACCTGCCGCTCAGTGTATTTGCAGTACGGAGTACCGCCCGCGAAATTTAGAAACATTAGAACCGGGGCAAAATGTGGGAGGATTTTAATTACGTATATGATTGAAAATGATTAAATAGTACGGAGTAAATTGATACCTATCTATTATTATGACATCTTATATAAACAGAATCTCTTAGATCTACAATATCTAGGTAGATATCTACATATGTAGCATTATTATAGTATATATGTTGTAGTGGAAAAGAACACATATCCCAAATCAAAATTCCCGTATTTCGCAATTCGCTACGTAGTGAGCATCACAGATCTGCCGGCAGCCCGAGCCCGTGCTCTTCCGTACCGTTGGGGGAAAAATTACAGTAGAGACGACCTCGGGGGAGCTGTCTATAGCTGACTGAGCTTCCACGGCGTCCCGAAAGTGGCCCAGTTACCGTACCGACCGTACCGGCTGTAATACGGCCAAATGGGAAAAAAACCGAGAAAATTCCAGGCGCAAAAGAGCTCCTCCCCGAATTCTTTCCTTTCTTTCTTCTTCTCCCCCAGGCTTTGTGACCACTTCTCCATTTCCTCCATATTACCCATCCCCATATATCCTGTCTGAGTCGACATGGCTTCTTCTCTCAGAATCGGTACTACCGCTCTCCGGTCTTCCATCGCGAAGCCGGTGCAGACCGCTGCCTTCAATGGCGTGCGCTGCTACTCTTCCGCTAAGACCAAGGTATGATACTCTTCAGATTCAACCAAACTTCAACGGAATGCTAACTTGATTTGATTGTCTAGTCCCTCAAGGACACCTTCGCCGACAACCTGCCCGCCGAGATCGAGAAGGTTAAGAAGCTCCGCAAGTATGTGACGCGCCCTTTTATTCAAAATCAAACACCAGCTAATCACGGTATTCAATCGTTTTAGGGAGCACGGTAACAAGGTCATTGGTGAGGTTACCCTCGACCAGGCCTACGGTGGTGCCCGTGGTATCAAGTCCCTCGTCTGGGAGGTAAGTTGAGAGAAATTTCACAGCCCCTTGGCAAATGATGACGCTAACCTTTTTTTTTCTACTAGGGTTCCGTCCTCGACTCTGAGGAGGGTATTCGTTTCCGTGGCTACACTGTAGGTTCTGATCGACTCGGATATTGTTTCCTGCTTGCTCACTATTATTTCTAGATCCCCGAGTGCCAAAAGCTCCTGCCCAAGGCCCCCGGTGGTGAGGAGCCCCTTCCCGAGGGTCTCTTCTGGCTTCTGTTGACCGGCGAGATCCCCTCCGAGCAGCAGGTCCGTAACCTGTCTGCCGAGTGGGCTGCCCGCTCCGATGTTCCCAAGTTTGTTGAGGAGCTCATCGACCGTTGCCCCAACACCCTCCACCCCATGGCCCAGTTCTCTCTCGCCGTGACCGCTCTCGAGCACGAGTCTGCCTTCGCCAAGGCCTACGCCAAGGGTGTTAACAAGAAGGAGTACTGGACCTACACCTTCGAGGACTCCATGGACCTCATCGCCAAGCTGCCCACCATTGCTTCCCGCATCTACCGCAACGTCTTCAAAGATGGCAAGGTCGCCCCTGTCCAGAAGGACAAGGATTACTCCTTCAACTTGGCCAACCAGCTTGGTTTCGGCGGCAACAAGGACTTCGTTGAGTTGATGCGTCTGTACCTGACCATCCACTCCGACCACGAGGGTGGTAACGTCAGCGCCCACACCACCCACTTGGTTGGCAGTGCCCTGAGCTCCCCCATGCTCTCTCTGTCCGCTGGTCTCCAGGGTCTTGCCGGTCCCCTTCACGGTCTCGCTAACCAGGAGGTCCTGAACTGGATCACCAAGATGAAGGAGTCCGTCGGCAGCGACATCAGTGACCAGTCCATCAAGGACTACCTCTGGTCCACTCTTAACAGCGGCCAGGTCGTCCCCGGTTACGGTCACGCCGTTCTGCGCAAGACTGACCCCCGTTACGTCTCCCAGCGCGAGTTTGCTCTCCGCAAGCTGCCCGATGACCCTCTGTTCAAGCTGGTCAGCCAGGTCTACAAGATCGCCCCCGGCGTTCTGACCGAGCACGGAAAGACCAAGAACCCCTACCCCAACGTCGATGCCCACTCTGGAGTCCTCCTCCAGTACTACGGTTTGACCGAGGCTAACTACTACACCGTTCTGTTCGGTGTGTCCCGTGCCATTGGTGTCCTTCCCCAGCTGATCATCGACCGTGCTCTTGGCATGCCCATTGAGCGCCCCAAGTCTTTCAGCACTGAGGCCTACGCCAAGTTGGTTGGTGCTAAGCTTTAAGCGCATGAATTTTCCCATCTCCTTTTTTTAATATCATCCTTGGGGCCCGTTGAAAACCCGGGTTAGACATTTTGTATTATCTCCTTTGTTTGACCGAGAGAGTCTTTGGTTATTTTCATGTTGTATGATAGGGACTTGATCGGTTCGAGCGGGCCTTGTAACAGAACTTCCATGTCAAATCATTTATGATTTCCATTTATTTTTTTTATTTTTTATTTTTCCATCTAGTATTGGTGTATGCAGAACACAGCTACATATGGCGTGCATACATATGTAGATACCGACATACGTAGATATCGGTGAAAAGTCTCCAAGTGCTAAATGCGGGACAAAAGGTACAGCGTAGGATATCACACGGTCTGACGACTACCTGTGTTGAATCAATCACATGCGGATATTGTTGGGAACACTCAACGTCTCCACATGTCAACGGAGAGAACTATTTAGATAGAATACATATAATTGTAATTGTATACAGATGTATGCAGATGTATACAGATGTATATATTGTAAAAAGTAAAGACAAATATATTATAATATTAATAAATAAATAAAAATAAACAAATATAGTCTGTCCTTTGTGAACTCCGAATTACGCTGGTGGATTCCTTCCGGTATGGGAGGTACCGAGTACCCAATGGTATGAGTGGAAACTCTGGAGATCCGATGTACCAGGTACGAGTCCTCCCCCCAGCTTACTGTCCCCAAAGCTTTGATTTCCCCGACCCTATAAGACAAATCTACCTTCCTCTCTTCTTTCTCTTCCATTCACACTTCCCACTTACAAATCTCATCCTCTTTTTGACTTTCTTAGTCCTTTCCCCCCTTCTTAAAACGCACGAAGCCCCCTATATCCCTTGGTCAGGGCCCCTTTCAGCGCATCCATCATCCCAGAATGTCTACAACTACATCCGTGGCCTCGGCCCCTAAGCTCGAGAAGAAGCCCGTCAAGTTCAGCAACTTGCTACTGGGCGCAGGATTGAATTTGTTCGAGGTTACATCATTGGGACAGGTATGGCATACTTCCAATCATTTAGTAAACAAGGGAGACTAACCATCCCCCCCAGCCGCTGGAGGTGATCAAGACAACCATGGCCGCAAACCGGGGCGATAGCTTCGTGGGCGCTATGGGTCGGATTTGGGGCCGTGGCGGCATTTTCGGTTGTAAGTGTCCATTCAATACCCGCTTCTGAATATATTCAATACCCGCTTCCAACTTCCCCCGACCTGCCCTAGCTAGCGCGTGGGGGCGCCGGACCCGCCAGATGTGAGGAACTCAAAACTAATTGCGAGATCGGATGTTTAGACTACCAGGGACTCATTCCGTGGGCCTGGATTGAGGCATCCACCAAGGGTGCGGTTCTCCTCTTCGTCGCCTCCGAGGCCGAATACTACGCCCGTACCTTCGGTGCCAATGACTTTGTCGCCGGTATCAGCGGTGGTATGGCTGGCGGTGTCGCTCAGGCCTACGCTACCATGGGCTTCTGCACCTGCATGAAGACTGTCGAGATTACCAAGCACAAGATGGCCGCCGACGGTGTGAAGCCCCCTGGCACCTTCGCGACCTTCATGGATATCTACCGCAAGGAGGGTATCCGCGGTATCAACCGTGGTGTCAATGCCGTCGCCATTCGCCAGACTACCAACTGGGGTTCCCGTTTCGGTCTGTCCCGTCTCGCTGAGTCGGCTATCCGTAAGGTTGCCAACAAGGAGGAAGGCGCTAAGCTGTCCGCTGCGGAAAAGATCTTGGCTTCCAGTCTCGGTGGTGGTCTGTCCGCCTGGAACCAGCCCATTGAGGTTATCCGTGTCGAGATGCAGAGCAAGACCCCTGACCCTAACCGCCCCAAGAACTTGACCGTCGGCAAGACTTTCAAGTACATCTACGACAGCAACGGCATCCGTGGTCTCTACCGTGGTGTGGCTCCTCGTGTCGGTCTGGGCATCTGGCAGACCGTCTGTATGGTTGCTCTTGGTGACATGTAAGTGTTCCGCTTCCCCCATTCTCCACCCTTTTCCCGTTATTCTGTTGTCATGGTGCTCCGCCTTTTTTTTTCCCTTTTTTTCATATGAAACCTCGGGCTAACCAGATCTCCTTTCTACCGAACAGGGCCAAAGAAGCAGTCGAAAAACTGACCGGCGACAGTGTCACCGCGAAGCATTAGAGAAGGTTTGAGATACCCTTCTGCCGTGCAGTGGTTTTCGGAATGGAAGTTTTTTTTTTTTGGTTTTTAGTCTAGATGCATTTTCTCATAACTTCATAATTAGTCTGGTCCTGTGGACAGACCCGATACCCATTGAATACATTTGCGGCTTTCCTCATACTTTTTTTTACCTGGGTGTGTCTTGTTCCCTTGAACTGTATGAATCTGTATGAATCTGTATCAATCTCATAATCTCATGATCGCTCTATCCTCCGATTCCCAATTAAACACCGGAACTACAATTCCGATTTACACCTACATGGGCAATACTCCGTAACCAATGCAGGGGCACCTTATGATAAACATTTAATTCTCCGCATTTAATTTCAGCCACCGAACCCCGGTTTTAGTGGGCTCAAAACCCCAGACAAAAACATCATCCGATGTTCGGTGCGTGAATCGGCCATTTCACCTCTTCAACCCGACAACCGATACTATCCAAATCCTAAACAGAGAGAATCCGGTGTCTATCATGACTTCCCTTAGATCCCAGAGTTTACGCTAGATAATTCATCCATGCCACTTTTGCATGAGACTTGCCGTATATAGCGTCTATTCGGTGTAGTGGGCCAATGCGGGCTTAGACCTCGGGTTATGGAAATCAGGAACATGCATTCATATGGGATTCCGCCTATCCGTCGGCTATTTCATGTAGAATACAGATTGCGGTGAGGTTTCCCTCATGCCTACTTTTTTTCGGGTTAATTCCGGGTGTCGGCCGAGATTCCACATGCACATATTTCCGAAGGGAAAAAAAGTATGGAGAATTGGAGATCCGGGTCACTACATACTCCGTAGTGCATTCCATGTTGGTCTCTGTTTTGGTTTCTGTTTATATAGCCATATTCTCTTCCATCTTCCATCAAATTGGTAAGATGGCCGAGTTGGTCTAAGGCGCCAGGTTAAGGTATACCTTAACTCCACAACTAGCAATAGTTTCCTGGTCTCGCAAGAGGCGTGGGTTCGAATCCCACTCTTATCATGTTCTTTTTGTTTTTGTTCATATTCATCTGGATATCAGGCTTTTGTTAGCTCAATTGGGTTGTTTTTGGTGTGGAGGTGGGCCGTTGAATTGAAGTTTTTTTCAGTTGTGCGTTTTGCGTTTTGCAGATGTTGAGTTTAACAAAGTTGGGGTTGATCCTAAATTGCAGACAGACCCTGTAATTTTCAAGATCAGGCGCTATGTACATGCATCTCGTAGGATTTTGATTGCTCCCTTGACCTACTTAATATCTACATATATATATATATATATATATATATGTAGATATTGTATGATGACAATAACCTTTTATACCTAGCGTCTCATTATCGGCCATAGTACCAACAGGGGGACATAGAACTAGAGCATAGAGCAATGAGCTGATGTTAAACTCCATCTATCCAACTGAGCTCCGCCATGGAGAAGCTACTGTCATGGCGTCATAGATGTCGGAATTTGACCTTATTACTTCACCTTGCCTACATGATACGCCTGGTGAATAAATATGAAGTATAAAGTTTCCCATAACCAGATAATTCAATGATAAACTATAAGGGGACTCCTATCATCAGTTCTACACTACTATATACCTCACACTCTTCGACGATACGAGTCAGACATGAGAGGATATTACACTTACCACTCACCACCAAGATATATAGGACGAACAATGGCACATCTCGCAGATAAGCATTAATTGCGGTTTTAATATCCTTTCATATAGAAAATAGCAAATATAGACCCGAGGAACTTGAATGGAAAGTTAAAAGGTATTATACCAAGAACGTCCAACCATGGAAGGAAGAACATGCTCTAAATGTCTTACCCCAACAGCAACGAGTAGTATGTGAAGCAGTCTTTAACCATCGCTTACCTCCCCATGTCAGGCCATAGATCGCGTGCTTTTCTCCTGGTTCGGACACATGCTAAAGTAAAAGATTGTATTAGGACATTAAAAGTTTTAAATACAATTTTTGAGGTGGCTAAATTAATACATCCCAGTCAGAACATCAGAGAATTTTATTGTTATATCCATACTAGCTACGTATAAAATTCTAAGTTAAAGTGAGGCCCTTGCCGACGTATACATGGAACACACAAAAATGAAAGAATTTTCTTTCTTGCCGAGCCAACCCACCACACCCACCGTTCTCGACTACAAAAACTTCATTAATGTTAAAAATGTAAGTGATGTATGAACAAAATGCAAAAAGAACATGATAAGAGTGGGATTCGAACCCACGCCTCTTGCGAGACCAGGAAACTATTGCTAGTTGTGTAGTTAAGGTATACCTTAACCTGGCGCCTTAGACCAACTCGGCCATCTTACCAATTTGATGGAAGATCGACGAGAATATGGCTATATGAAAGAATGCTTAGCAGGAGTCAGTCCTTAGGATATGGACAAAGGCACTGTGCAATTGATAAAATACTTTCGTTCTAGACCTCTTCAGCTTTCATGACCCCACATCCCAAAATAGGCGTAATTAGGGCACGAGAAACATCTGTAGCAAATGTCAGCGACGGCTTCTAGTACCCATTGCATAATTGAAAGCTTGACAAAACAACCTATAACTAAAATTGATCTATGTCGAAGGAGCAGCCACGGACCCCCAAACCCCGGAGACACTATATGCATGTCCTCTACATTGTATACTGCAATCCTACTACAAAATACCCGGCAGGGCTGGATGATCTGCATTTCATTATCTAACGGTAGGTACCCATGTGCATATGTAGATGTATCTACCGGATTTTAGGCCGCGGCTGTGGCTTGCCCGATTGAGGTGCCGCTGCTTTATGAGAACTCTGGGGGTCTTGCCCACTGAGTATTTCACGACATAGGGTGATTACTGTCCAATAGGCATGATATCTGATGTGCACATTCAAGCCGTTACATCCTTATAACCTGTAACCCATCAAATGCGATTGTGGCCGGAAATACCTCGAAGCTGCTTTTGCTTCTTTTACATCGTCATTGTTTCAACTGTCCAGACAGCTATGAAGTCATGTAGGGCTCGAATATCCCCGAACTTACGCTAAACTCTTGATTGGAGATCCTTGACACTTGGAAGATACGTGTGGTGGTGGCTGAGGCAAGCCTTGGCATGGAGTTAAGCAGGGTTTGTCGGAGATGCTGATATAGCGGAGAAGCTTGGCAAAGGGTCTCAAGGGTCGCATGGTACTCCGTACTCTTAATCGGATTATAAAGGATACCCAGAATTGGATTTTCCATGTTGAAAAAACAATAAATCAGAATACAACTTTATTGATTCTATCTGGGCTTAGCTAACCCTGTTCAATGTCAAAACGAAGTTCGAACTAATCGGCACTTTGTAACACCGCGTAGATCGCGTATATCCAAATGGGGTCTTGAGATTTCTTTTTTGCTAGAACTCCAAGATACTTGATCGTGGCTGAGGAAGGCAGCAGCATTTCTCAGTGGTTTTTGTTTCTTTTCTTTTTGATGCAGGTGGCTGACAGGGCCAAGGTCTCCACTGTACTCCATCACACCATAGGCGTTAGATCGCCAAACATTGGGCTATGGGTCTTACAACCTTGGTACATACATATGGTTCTGATTCTAGCCACGCGTCCAACCCTCACTTGGCGGTCTATTGTGCTTATGCCCGCCTAAAATCATTTGTTCTATTGATACTTGTTGGCTATGGATCTTTGCTTACATCTCAGCCATGGCAGAGAGACACCATGTATGATTTGACGCCTGGCGGTGGGGCTGGAGATGGATGGATGTGCATGCTAAATCTATATATTGCTACACGTTACTGCTTACAGGGAAGTCGATCTTTTTTTTGGCCATCAGGTCCAAAGCATAATATCTGAGATGAAGATCTTATCCTTTACTATTATAACATTGCTTGCATGGATTGTACCAATATCGGCTGTTGAATGTAAGTATACGACGTCCATGGGTGTCTCAACTGTCTCAGCTAAGCATAAGCCTGACTCTGTTCACTTACAGTTGATCTGGTGTCATTCCGTCTTATCGATCCAGTGCTCTCTCCTGTGGTTGATACAAAGAAATTCAACATAACAACGAAGATTGAGACATACAACCAAACTATCAATTTTGTTTTAGAAAACAACGATGATCTCATATCACAGGATGTGCAGATCCAGTATCCCGGTATCCACGGGCAGGCCAACGAGGCAGGTGCCCGGTCGGACGCTCAAGTTCGATTTACAAGAGGATCAGTCTGGATGCAGGACACTCTTAGGGGGAACCGAGAGAATGTCGGATGGGCAAGGCTGGCCGTGACTCAGCAGGAAGACAACCTCCTCTTCGATGGAGCCTTTACAATTATGGGTTCGCAGTATGCCCTCGAATTTGAGACCCTTGATGATGGGTTGACTGCAATGAAAGCCCACAAGCGCGAATCCGCATTCACAACCGGCAGCCAATCGTCACTCCCTTCGCTCTGCCCAACTATGCCCGAAACACACTTGCATAAGAGACAGAGCTGGAATGGTTGGGATAACGAGGATCTCACTTCAACGATCGGCAGTACGAACGGTTGTCCGAATACGAGAGAGATTGCAAATATCGGCATCATGACGGACTGCACTTATACTGCAGGCTTCAATTCCTCCGACTCTGCCCAGCGATACATCCTAAATATGGTCAACACTGCATCTGTTGTATTTGAGAACAGTTTTAATATCTCTCTCGCAGTGCAGAATTTAACAATAAGTGACACTGAATGCCCGAGCAGTACCTCAGATACGACAGCATGGAATGTCCCTTGCTCTCAGGGAGATCTCAACACGCGTCTTCAGACCTTTTCAAGGTGGCGAAGCTCCGTGAACGATGAAAATGCATACTGGACCTTGTTGACTGGGTGTTCAGTTTCTGCAGGGGAGATTGGGGTGTCCTGGATTGGAGCACTGTGTAACACAGGCTCCGGTTCTATTAATGGAGGAGCTGGTGCCAACGTTGTTGCTCGAACACCAGATGAGTGGCAGGTCTTTGCGTAAGTTGTCATACCAACCGATCACCAGGTGGTGAGATTCTTTTTTAGCTGACCTAAAAATTAGCCACGAGTCGGCCCATACATTCGGAGCAGTCCATGACTGTACTTCAAGTACATGCGGAAGTGACTCGACACAATGCTGTTCACTCTCATCGAATACTTGCGATGCTGGCGGCCAGTACCTCATGAACCCTGTATCTGGATCCGGTATGACACGCTTCTCGCCCTGCACGATTGGAAATGTCTGTTCAAGACTCGGCTCTGGGCGGGTTGACGGGAGCTGCTTGGTGGACTCTCGGACTGGTAATACCACTAATACTAATGGACAATGCGGCAATGGTATTGTGGAAGCCGGCGAGGCATGCGATTGCGGAAATGGTGCCTGTGACGAACAGGAGACTCGGTGCTGCGACTCTTTGACATGTCAATTGCGAGCAGGAAATGGATGTGGTCAGACAAATGATGGCAATACTGGAAACACTGGCAACACTGGCAACACCGGAAACACTGGACAAGGAAATCGGGGAAATGGTGGGTCAAGTGATGATGTCTCATCCTGGGTTCAGAATCATCTTTCGTTGGTTATTGGACTTGCTAGTGGTATTGGTGGAGCTTTGTTACTGCTCATATTTGGATGTTTGATTTGTTCTTGTCGACGCGGCCGCAGAGAACCAGTCAATGTCAAGCCGGCTGTAATGCCACCCCCTCCACCATATCAACTACCACCTCGATATCAATAAAAAAAAAAGAAATACATTGTTCTGTTCCACATCAACGTCTTCTTGCCTGATATTCCCCTACCTCCACTTACAGTTCTATTAGGGGCGGCCATAGCTGCAATAATTCTTTTCCGTGTATTGAGGATAAGAGCTATAAGAGCTATCTAGCTTTCTACAGGCAACAATCAGACATTCAACTATCCTCAACTTCCATTTCATTCTGTCATGTAGCTGTCCTCAAATCCTCCAATCCTAGGGGAAACAAATAACAGTTTTGTGCTCCAAGTGGCCACTGTATAAAAAGATGACTAAAATGATAGCTCAAAAGACAAATCAAAAGACATCTAAAAAGAACATAACAAGACCGTATTAAGCGGCTGATTACATTTCTTGTCTTGTTGTATAGGTATGCCTCCGGCGATGGAAGACGCGGTGAGGTGATATCCAATGAAAGATGTATGAACCGGTGGCGTACTTAGTCGCCCGTACCCTGTTAACTCCAGTGCGGCAGTAAATGGAGAACTATTCTTGGTAATGATGACGACTCTCGAGAACAGCTAGTCCGAACATTTGTAGATTTCTACTTGATGCCTTTGACCTTGATAGATGAAGGATAACCAGAACTACCCAGGACCCCCGCTTAGCACATAATACTTCGTTCTTGGTTTAAGGATCCATGTAAACGGAACAAGTGACATTCTGTGGAATAACACAATAAATCAATGCCAGTAGAGAAGCTCCTTTCCACGAATGATTTCCCATCCCTGGTTTAAAGCATCGACAACCTCCTTCGGAAGAGGACCCCCTTTCATGGCATCCATATTCTCCCTCAACTGTTTAGGGCTACTAGATCCAATGACCACACCATCTCCATTTTCATCATTCAGCTGTGAGTGGTGAGACAGCCACCTCAAGGCACACTCGATCTCCGTGAGACCGTGCTTCTGTGCAACTGGTCTAAGAATGTCAAGCGCATCGAAGTCTGGCTCTTGATAGTACCGCCGACGAGCGAGAGCTCCAGGGCCAGTGTTTGGGTCAAATCTTCCACCGGCTGTAGCATCAGGCTTGTCGCGAGAATAGCGATTGGTCAACATACCCGCAGCTAGCGGGTTAAAACAGTAGAATGCGATCCCATAGTGCCGAAGGCATGGCAACAGCTCTGGCTCGATGGCTCGGTGGAAGGCATTGTATATTCCTTGACAAACGCTAGGTTTGATCCAACCATTTCTCTCGGATATCTCACACAGTCTGGCTACTTCCCAGGATTGGTAATTACTGATTCCCAGCTTTTCAAAATACCCTTCTTGGTACAGCTTGTTTACTTCGCAGAGCGTTTCTTCGAAGGGAACTGTCCGGTCCGGGCTGTGGAGGTACCATATGTGGACTTTGGGAACTTTGAGGGCTTCCAGGCTTCGCATCAAGCCTAGACGTAGATCCTTGGCATTGTGATGGTATGAAGTTCCCACCAAGGCCATCTTTGGGTTGGCTGCTGAGGGAAACAGTTTGGTGTCAAGGTTCACATCGGTCAAGTTCAAGTTGCCCAAGAATGTTTCAGAGGATCCGTCCCCGTAGATGCGAGCTGTATCAATGTCGACATGACCATAGCTTTTGAATAGATCGACCATCTGTCTGGCTTCTTCCAGGGTGTGGACACGGGTCCGGCCATCACCTTTTTTTTCCCTCGGAGCGTTAGTTAATACATCACTTGGATCTGAGAATGTAGTTTGCTGATTACCTGGCTCGCCGATGTTCATAGATCCGAAAACAAGCTTCATTGCGGAATGTTGGAATTTGTACTGACAAGAAAACTATAACTACCTTGGGTATAGCTATTAGTGTATATATTATATATGTAAACTACATGTAAACTACGGAGTACATATGTACCTGGGCAATACCCGATTCTGTCGGCCGAAGTCATTACATAATCCCGATACGATTCCTAAATAGGTAAGGTCTCCCTGTCCACCGCGCTGACGGTGGGTCGGCAATGTATGTAGTGGGTCACTCTTATCATCAAATGAGCTTGTGTATATGTCAACATACTAATGAAGAAACTGAAGAGGGGATATATGCATTTTATCCGGAGAATCCTGAAGATTTCTCTGGATCTTGCAGCTACCTCTGACTAAATACAGGTATAATATCCCTCGGGGTCTTACGCTGAATCGACAGCAGTACTCAAAGCGATGTCTCGCATCTGTTCCAGTTCGACCTTCAGGTTTTCAATCTTGGTCAACATGCGTGGGAAGCAGTCTGTTCCAAGAGGCAACCGCAATAGGCTCTCCTTCCCCTGTCCCATTCCTTGGAGCTGAATCACGTCCAAGACCCGCTGGACCGCCTTTGCGGGATCGCCAGGTTGCTTGCCGGCAAAGCCATCGAAGAATCCCATGGCAGCACCAAGGGGTGTTCCTTCGTAGTCCTTGGTCATTCCAGCGGCTGGAACCTTGTGGGATCCGATAAATTTGGTGCGGAAGGCACCGGGCTCAACAAGCAACACTCGGATATTGAATGGGTTGAGTTCAGTAAACAGTGATTCCGAAAGCGCTGGTTTCAATGTTGTCAGTGGGCGACTTTTTAAGGTTGGGTTGGGAAACTAATTTGAACGGATTTGAGCTCCTACCTTCAACCGCGAACTTGGACATGGAATAGGCAGCAGAAGATGGACCAGCGGCAAAACCAGCAATGCTACTGAAATTGACGATGGTACCACTGCGCTGTGCTCTCATGAAGGGGAGCGCGGCTTTGATTACCCGCACAGTGCCGTACACGTTGGTCTGGAACTGTGTATCAAGCTCCTCCTCACTTATCTTGGCGTTAGCTTATATCTCTCGAATACAAGCTTGGCCACACCGCACACATACCTAATATCTTCAATGCTTCCTAGTAGTCCATAACCAGCGTTGTTGATGATCACGTCGATTTTACCACCGTTCTCCCGGATGGCTTGCTCGACTTGCTCTTTCGTTTGCTGGCTCGTCACATCTAATTGGAGCCATTTCCCACCCAGTAGTTCAACCTGTGGGTAATCCTGGGCAGCCTTTGTGGGATTACGAGCTGTAGCAAGAACACGATGACCTGCTTTGAGGGCACTCTCGGTCATAAGCGCCCCGAAGCCGGAGGATGCTCCAGTGATCAGCCAAAGTTGAGATGCCATTGTATGTCGAAATGTGACAAGAGGCTGGTCTTTGGATTGGTGATTAGATTTCAGACATGAAAAAAACTGTTATGCTTGAACAGTTTAATGAAAAAGTGCTCGCGAGCTAGGTCGAGGTCAAAGCCAAAGCTATGATGCATATGTAGCCGAAGTCGAGAGCAATTGGGTAACCCGAAAGATCCACCCACATATGGGGCCTAATTCACGCCACTCATAATTGAGCAAGGTGTGTTTAGCATCGCCAGAGTCGGTCAGCCATGGGAGATACTCGCTGGAGATAACTATTTCCGGCGGGTCCGGAGATAACTACAGGCTATCTTGTAAGCGAGGAATTTAGCAGTGTATCCGTTTCAGAGTGTATTATCAATATGTATATGTACTCCGTACTAGTGGGAGCAATGATCCTGTGGAATATCTTCGAATATTCAAATATCAACGCCATCCATGCAGTGTCCGCACCAACTACACCCTTTATCGAAGAGGCCTCAGTCCAGGTCTTCAGTCATACCCATCCATTGTGCCGTGTTTGATTCGAGCTTGAACTGGGATTTATTTCTTTTTGGCTTTGGCTGTGGACCTTGTCTTCTATTTGAACTTGGCGTTGTGTTTGTTTTTCTGACTGGAGAGAATGTGTCAATTGTTTTTTCAAACTCTTGGACAAATTGTATCAAATTCCCCCATTTCCTGGTTGCATTTCTGGATGGTTGTGCCGATGAGGTTCTCGTTGGAGGGTGGCCTGCGGAGCCTTGAAATGGGACAAACTATAATACATATATATTTAGTTGGGGTTAAAATAGTACACTGGCCCTGACCATAACCCCCATTCTCCTCGAAACGGCAGGAAAGGGAGCGTGTAAGAAGGGAAATACACACCAGGCGCTCGGCATTATCACTGTTGTTCGTGAGACCCGTTCTATCCGACTTGCTCGCTAGGTAGATACCTTGTAAGAGCTTGGGATTTTTCTGGCTCGACGGGTGGGATTTAGTAGGAGTAATATTGCCTTTATCCTTGGGAACTACTCGGGGAGTAGGACGTGCTCGGTGAACATCGTTGGAGTGAGTATCAAGGGCTTGGTGAGGAGCATGGGACAGTCCGTGGCCGCTATGGTGGCATCTTTATGTCGATTCTAGTCGTATCCATAGACTTGGAGGTTGGGTCGATTCGGTTTTTCAGACGCGCGGGGTTGGGCTGGGATGAGGATAACCACTGCGGTCATGGGGGTGTAACGTCAAGGCACTATGTACATTTGTATTGTATCTATAGGTATGTATCTTCTGGCTATACTGCATGCACTGCCATATGTGTGTATAAATTGGTTAATGCCTTTCTTGGACAGATAAGTTGGTTCGTATGCCCCTATGACAGGTTTGACGTTATATCATACCTAGGTAAAGTCAAATGGCAATTGTATCTATATCCTTCAAATGTTGTACAATCCCTGTATGTCTTCTAGGCAACAAACACAACCCTACTACTTGCTTGCACTGGGCAATAGAATGGGTCCTTAGCTCACTAACTTTATAGACAAATGTAGCTGAAGCATTTTCTGTATATACTATAATCCACGTGGTATATATATATATATATATTTCCAAGGTTGTAACAACCTTGCTAAAAAGACTATGCGTAGTGGCAAAGTTTCCGCTTAGGAAACATCAAATTACACTACTTTAAGTGATCACTACCATATACATACCCATTTTTTAAAAAAAAAGAATGAGTAGAAAAATCTCATATCGAGATAGAGACAGATCTGAACAAAAACAAAAAGATCATGATAAGAGTGGGATTCGAACCCACGCCTCTTGCGAGACCAGGAAACTATTGCTAGTTGTGGAGTTAAGGTATACCTTAACCTGGCGCCTTAGACCAACTCGGCCATCTTACCAATTTGATGAAAGATGAATGAGAATATGGTTACATGAGCGGAAAATAGTGAATAGACTCAAGATCTATCACAAAACTGCTGCTTTGAAGAGTCTCTAACGATCCCAGGTCGATCGAGAATGAAAACCCCTTTACCTTATCAGTTGTGTTTTTTGTCCCAGGACTTCCAAGGTTGTCGTGGACATGACAGTAGAGATATCTAGCCCAATAATTATTCACATTTACTCTACATGTTTTGTTAGGTAGTATACACACATAAATCAAGAAAACACCATAATACACCATATACCGAACATGGCATATGAATCAATCACGCCCACTGGCGGGGGTGGCGCAGCACATCCATAATCTCCTTCTCGCTGGTCTTATCCTCTGCCAGGTCATCTTCATCCACAGGCATGTTCTCTGTCCTTGTGCCAGACACAGGGTCCATGTAAGCCCAGCTAGCAGTACGTGGGAGACTCATCAAGATACTTTCAACGCGGGCACTGGGCGTGCGCAAGCCGAAGCTAGTTCCACGATCATAGATAAGGTTGAACTCCACATAGCGGCCCCGACGAAGCTGCTGCCACTCCTTTTGTTCTGGGGTGTACAGCATATCTTTGCGTCGCTCAATGATGGGCACATAGGAAGGAAGGAAAGATGCCAGACCGTCCGAAACGAAGGAGAACAGCGTCTCCTGAGGGTTGGAGGAGGAGCCGGCGGAAGTTTGAAGGAAGTTGGCGTCGAGGTCATCAAAGAAGATACCTCCAACGCCGCGGCATTCACCACGGTGGGGGATGTAGAAGTACTTGTCACACCAGGCCTTGAACTTGGGGTAGTATGTAGCATCGTGGCGGTCGCATGTATCCTTAATGGTCTTGTGGAAGTGCTGAGCATCCTCCGGGAAGAGGTAGGTCGGGGTCAGATCCGTGCCACCTCCGAACCACCAGTTCTTGTCCCCATTAATAGGGTCCTTAGGGTCGGACGTTTCGAAGTAGCGGTAGTTGAGGTGCACCGTCGGAGCCATGGGATTGTGTGGGTGCAAGACCAGCGAGAGACCGGCGGCGAAGAAATCTAGCGAGTCCACATCTGAGCCGATAAAGGACTTGTGATCGGCACGCATCTTCTCAAGGGCTGGCCGGGGCAATTTGCCGTACACCACAGAGACGTTGACACCCGCCTTCTCAAAGACGTTTCCGTCCTGCAGCACACACGAAACGCCGCCACCGCCATTGGGACGCGACCAGGTGTCGGTCTTGAATTGTTTCCCATCGATTCTGCCTAGTTCTTCAATAATCTTCTGCTGGTGTTGCTTGATAAGCTTTTCCATCCGTAACCGCATTGGCGAGGACTCGTTGATTTTCGATGATTGCTTGAGGGCCTCATCCACTTCAACTATGGATGGAGCGTCGAGTTCCGTGACTTCTTCCGTCATCTGGAATAAATAAGCAAATTGACCTTCGTTTTTTTATGAAGCGACGTGTCATACCATTGAGTATATAATTCCGCCGATGAAAGGCACGCCAAAGGCGAGGCGCAAGTATGGTCTCCAGACAGTGAATGGCTTCGGTTCACGCGGTTCCTGCCCAGTAGAATATCCGCGAAACGAGGGTCCAGCACGACGACCGGCAATGCGAGTGCTTCGAGCAGACAACTGCCCCAGTGACCTCCGCAGAGGCGTGTATGATCGAGTGGCCATTTTTGGAATAGGATTGGTTGCGCGAATGGCTGCCAGCATGAAGTATCAAAAGGTCAATGGCCAGAACCAAGAGAGTGATAATCCAAATCTGTACAACAAAGGATTTGAATGATTTGAGAAAGAAGTTGAATTGAGTCAACAATTTAGCTAAAACACCACGCAACCTCGGTCTCAAATCGTACGACTTGCTTAGAGACGAGTTTGATCTGTTTGGCTGGATGAGATAAGCACGATAAGCTGCCGGGGGAGAAGTTGAAATAGGCACCAACGGGGACAGTACATGTAAGCCCCGGTATTGGTAAGATTGCTTTCATTTAAATATTATTAAAGGCCTGACACAAAATGTATTAAGATGTCTCTTAATCCACCAACGGAGTAGTATGTATGTAAATAACATCCATGGATGTATTTTGCTATCCACGTGAGTAAGAACCATCGAGACATCTGATTTCTGCCGCGTGACTATTGACTCACCGCCCGTAGATCCCGTGATGGTATTACCGTAACGTCAGCGGGGGAGTCGCCTTGGTCATCCTCTATCACCCCTCTTCATCTCTCTCTCTCTCTCTTTCTACTTTCCGCAAGATACTTCACATTCAGAGCTTCCCACCAAGAAAGCCACCACTGCTACCAACTTCGCACCAGAGCTTCCTGGTGTTTTGATCTTACTCTCCACCCGACCCGCTCTTACTTATCGACCCTTATCAGTCACGATGCGATCCAAGTTTAAGGACGAGCACCCCTTCGAAAAGCGAAAGGCCGAGGCTGAGCGCATCCGCCAGAAATATGCCGACCGAATTCCTGTGAGTATCTTTGATTCCAGGGGATTCCCCCGAAAGAGGGTGGTTGGCTGAAGCCAAACTCTCGGACCCTCACCGCTTGTTCGGTAGCTAACGGACTTGTCAACCTACAGGTTATCTGCGAGAAGGTCGAGAAGTCGGATATCGCCACCATCGACAAGAAGAAGTACCTGGTGCCTGCCGACCTCACTGTGGGACAGTTTGTCTATGTGATCCGCAAGCGCATAAAGCTTTCCCCCGAGAAGGCTATCTTCATCTTCGTTGATGAGGTCCTCCCTCCAACTGCTGCGCTCATGAGTAGCATCTACGAAGAGCACAAGGACGAAGATGGCTTCCTGTACATCACGTATGTTCCCCCCCTTTTTTTTGGTCAATAAATGAAATCATACTTACATAACGGTTAGATACTCGGGCGAGAACACATTCGGTGACCTGTAGAGGTTGCTGGGTCTCTCTCGTTTGCTTTGCTGTATAGCCACTCCAACCTGCACGAGTGAGTCAACGATGGATGAACGGGCAGGCGAGGAGGCTTCTGCGACCTTGGGATACTGGTTTTGGGTCACTGGCGTTTCATTCGGTGTTCTACGCATTTCCTTTCTGACTTTGCTTGGCACCTATGCTCTTTAGCTGCAACTACAATCATTATGAGCTTTCTCTGGTTGTGGTAATATTCTGGGATTCTTTTGACAATTTCTTTTTTTTTTAATGTTTTGTTCTGTCGAGCAATGACGGGACACCTGGAAACCAACCACAAATCGGGCTAGATAAAGTTTTTACACTTGAGAATATGATTTCTTCAGCCATGCTCTAGCAATGAGTAGATCTACTCTACTTCGTAGAATTCATTTATAGTATAGACCTAGATATCTATACCTCTGTACGTACGTAGTGGTCCATAGTTATCGTAGTTACCATGGAATGTTTCCAAACACTAACCCTAAATAGTTCCTCAACCCCACAAATATAAGACATGAGCACTATTCAGGCACAGTTTCACATCACTTCCGAGGTTATACTATTTACTGTATACAGGCAGCAAGTTGTATTGCAGGAATCCACTTCCGTCACTTTCAACCGACGGATTCCGATGCATATTTTCATAGAACTGTGGGGTTATCTGGTTTAGTTATGGGGGATGGACAATGAGTCTATAACTATTGGAATTATATTATAGAAATCAAGTGATTAGGGACTATAATTTACTTCTTGATACCTTGTTAAATGGCATTCTATTATACAATATGTAAACTAGTACTTATCGACAACTCCTTGGCTCTCCGATGGCGGCTCCAAAACGGGACTAGTGCCGAATGTGCCTCGATAAAATTTAACTCCGAGCACATGTTCCTGAATTCATCGGCGTTCTCATTCTCTTGCTCTTTTTTTTGGATTTCTTTACAATTAGAAAATATGTCTCCCGCTATTGCTTCCAGTGCTGGCGCTGCCTCCAAAGATGTCAAGAAAGAGTCTGCCACTGCTCGTCTCCTCGGTTCCGGTAAGTCAGATGTTCCAAAACACAAAAACTCGTTACTGACCTGTGACTCTTCTAGGCTCTGCCGGTATTGCTGAGTTGATGATCTTCCATCCCGTACGACCTTCTCCGATTCGAGAGATATTGCGACCGGACACTGACATCCTCCATAGGTTGACACCACCGCCAAGCGATTGATGAGCAACCAGACCCGGGTGAGATTCGGATTGTTTACGAACGAAAAAGTATCTATTGCTGACGGGATCCTTGACAGATCACCAGCGCTACCGCTTTCAAGGAGGTTGTATTCAGGGAGCACGTCAATGCCACAATCGGTCGCAAGTTCACCTCTCTGTTCCCTGGCCTGGGATACGCTGCCGGTTACAAGGTTTGTGACTCGTCGACAACAAAATAATAGGAGAAGGGGAACAATCAGCTCATACCGTTTGGAATCTATAGGTCCTCCAGCGCATCTACAAGTACGGCGGTCAGCCTTTCGCCCGCGATTACCTCGCTAAGCACCACGGTGCCGACTTCGACAATGCATTTGGCAAGGGTACCGGAAAGGCCATTATGCACGCCACTGCTGGAAGGTAAGAACAATTGGATCATTGGACGCGAGGATACATCTAACTCGAAATCTTTTAGTTTGATCGGTATTGGAGAGATCATTCTGCTCCCTCTCGACGTTCTTAAGATTAAGCGCCAGACTAACCCCGAGGCCTTCCGTGGCCGTGGCCTTTTCAAGATTGTTGCCGATGAGGGTATGGGTCTGTACCGTGGTGCTGGCTGGACTGCCGCCCGTAACGCCCCTGGCTCCTTCGCTGTATGCTTTGCCCCGGTCTGCTATCACTGAACCCCAACTAACTTTTGTTACAGCTCTTCGGTGGATCCGCTTTCGCCAAGGAAAAGATTTACAAGTTGACCGACTACAACACTGCCACCTGGGGCCAGAACTTTGTCGCCTCAGTCTGCGGTGCTAGCGCTTCCCTGGTCGTCTCCGCTCCCCTCGATGTCATCAAGACCCGTATCCAGAACCGCAACTTCGAGAACCCCGAGTCTGGCTTCAAGATCGTCTCCACCATGCTTAAGAACGAGGGCCCCACCAGCTTCTTCAAGGGTCTGACCCCCAAGCTTCTGATGACAGGCCCCAAGCTGGTCTTCAGCTTCTGGCTGGCACAGACTTTGATTCCTGCTTTCGGCCAGGTTGTATAGAGATCATGTTTTATAATAGTTGCATTTCCCCTTTTATTTCTCCTTTCTTGAGCTAGGTTAACTACCTAGACTTTTGTATTTTCATAGACATCTTTTATTTCTTGCGGGGATCTACTTAGGTAGCTTACATTTTCCGAATGCGATGAACTCACTCTACTTCAACACACATTCATATGGCATTATCAAGACTCCGAGGTGCTTTAAATGACAAGTTCTATTTAAATGACATATATTCTATTGCTAGAAATAACCACAAGAATAAGACGGGATGTATAGTGGGAATATCGACATCCAAAACCAGTAAACGAAAACATAACGCATATGTATAAAAAAAGAAAATAGCACAAACTTGATTCGTGAGGCATTCTACTAACCAGTAACAGCGCTTCTTTGCTTTGCTAGCCAGCCCTTGGAATCTCCCGTGCTGGCTCCATGTCGATATCGTGATACCGTCATATTGTTGTTCTGCCACCGGCTCTGAAGGTGATACCAAGCTGAGCCCACAAGGTTGAGTTCTCGGGCCTGGCTGTCGATAATATTCTGAAGCTCAAGCTAAAAAAAAGTGTCATCAGCATACTGCTAGAACCTAACAGAATCAAGGGACGACTTACCTCTCGCTCCTTGGAAATGCCATCGTCTAGGTTTTCTTCGTAGTTCTTCATACGCTCACGAAGTGATTTGACTAGCTCGTTTTGTTGCTGGATGTACTGTAGAACCAAGCTAGAATTAGCAAACGCAACCCGAATAAAACGTAGCGAGGATCCTTTGTGGGAAAACTGACCTCTGCACGCTGAGCAAGTCGTTCAACGTTCTTCTCCAAGACTCCAGCACACTGCTTTAAGAGCTCGAAGCTTGATTTTTGGGGTACTTCGCCGCCCTCAGTATTGTGGGTTTCAAACTCGCCTAGGAGCATTTGCATCTCGTTCATCACTTCCTGATCTTCGGAGCTGATCTCGCTTTGCTTGTTGTCGAGCATCTTGCGCAGTTCCTCTCGTTCCGCACAGACTTCGCGCACCAGAGTTTGGCTGGCATCAACTTCAGCCTCCAGGTGATGGACATTCTGTGTAAGGGTTTCCCAGTCATCCCGGATTTTTGTTAATTCAGCCGAGTTGTGCGCTTCGAGTCCTTGGACCATCTCGACCTGCTCCGCATTGACAAGGCCAACTTCCAGATTGTAAGTCACATGTTTTCCCTCGGATGTGTAGAACCAGAGCAATCAAACACTTACGTTCAGCCTGTGTATCAGACAGGTCCCTTTTGGCTGTTTCCAAGGTGTCCTGGACCTCTGCAATCTTCTGAAGAGCTCCGGTATAGTTCTCGTATAGTTTCCAATAGTCGTCGCTGTGAAGCATGTTAGATATCCTGTTCATAGAAATCCAATGTCGGGCAATCAAACCTTTGGGTGGAACCAGAGCGAGCCAGGTGCACGGATGCAGCAAAGTTTTCCGAGAAGCCCCCAGTGTGAGAGGCTGGCTGCTGGTTGTTAGTATCGAGAGGGTACGGTAGAGAACACATGGTACACATACAGCTGAGGGCGCTTTAATCGACTCCGTTTCCCGCTTCAAGTCATCATTATCAGATTTACTGTCAAGAGTTAGTATCCAGAAAGGCCGCGAAGGCAAATTGTATACACACAGTTGAGATTCCTTGACACCGAGTGCCTCGAAGTCCTTGTGCAATGTCCCTTGCATTTTAGGAGTCTCAGAGCCAGGCGACGCGCTGCCCGGTAAGCCGTCCATTTCCCCGAGGCGTTCACGTAGTTCGGTGATCAAAGCGTCGTCTCTCTCGTGCTGTTCGTCCGCACTTTCCAGTCGTTCGGTCAGAGCATGGTTATTGAACTCGAGTTGTTTCTTCAAATTCTGGATCTCATTGCATTCCTGCTCAACTTGTGGCAGAAGCTTGCGGTACTCTTCCAGTTCCACATCACGCTCCGAAGACCATCGCTGCTGCGCGTCTGACTCTTTCAGCTGTTGCTGGAGATCTTTGATCTGGTTCTTGAGGGTCTGGTTCTCTTTCTCAAAGTCTTGGCTGGCTTGCAGCTTTTGGCGGTATTTCTCGGCCGCATTTGCCTTGCGCGCGAGCTGATCCTTCTCGGTGCGGAGCTCATCATAGTCATCTTGCAACTTCTGATAGCGCTGGTTCTTGACTCGCAAGGACTCGACCGTCATGCGAAGGCTGTCAATTTCATCCTGGGCTGCGGTCAACTTCGCTTCTTGAGAAGCAATTAGATCGTCCTGTTGACGAGTCTTGCTTTCCAATGCCTTTGCATTGTGACCAATATCACCTTTTCCGGATTTCAATGTGACTAGCCGGTCCTCGGTAGAGGCGAGGCGATTCTGTAGGGTGTCATTGTTCTCCTGGAGACGCGCCAGGCGATTGTGCAGGTCCTCCAATGCCTTTTCCAACTCCTTTTTCTCGTGTGTTAGACGGTCGTTCTCCGCAAGCACTTTCCCGACGCGTTCTTCAAATTGCAGTTCCAGGTCCACAGGGCGATCGTGCTTGGCCAGGTCTTCCCTGAGCTCGTCCGCAGCGTCCATCGGCTCGTACTGGCCATTATGTGCCTCCTCAATAATATCCCTGAGCCCCTCTTGTGTCGAGGTGCTTAGTTCCTGGAGTGTTTGTACGTATGTTCCGGCGTTGGGGGAGCTGATGGCGGCGATCAGGAGAAGCTTCAGCAGTTTGTTTGTTTCCTTGGAAGAGGCTTTTTCGGCGATAGACTCGAGATCAGGCGATGGATCGAGACCGGAGGGTA